CCCTCGGCGGCCGGGCCCGGCGGTGGCAGCGGCCGCGCGGGCCGGGGCGATGGCGGCGGCGGCGGCTGGGAACGTGTTCCTGAGAGCCCGTGGCAGGACTCTGACCTCCTTCCGCGCAGGTACGGGCAGCGCTGGCCGAGCCGCGCTATCGCCTGCGGGCTCTTCCTCGCCGTGCTGCTGGGCGGGAGGGGCGTGCGGAGGGAGGCCCGGGGCTTCCCCGGCGGCGGCGGCGGCGGCGGCGGCGGGAGGAGCTGCTGTCGGGGAGGGGGAGGCGTGGAGCGCCGGGGCCTTGGGCCGTCTGCCGGTGCTGGGGAGCCCGTGGCGGGGAGCACTGGGGACACTGGGCGGTCGCAGCGGGGAAGGACGCGAGGCTGTGGCCTCCCCGCTGCGCCCAAGTTTATCCCCACGCTCCGCATCCCGTGAAGATGCCAGCAGTGTCCAGCACCGGATCCCTTTTAAAGTGCTTGTCCTTGATGCTGAACCTGCTGTCCGTAGCCTGTGAAAGTGTTGGCGCTAGCCCTGTGCTGTCATGTGTTTGTACCTGTCAGGGTGACCCAACAGGTTACCGCTGGGTCACTGTTGGTGTTGCTCAAACGAAGGGCAGCCGTAGGGTGTTCACAGCTGGRTAAGCTCCTGCTCCGTGGGGTGCTCAGCCTCGCTCAGGGTGAGGGTCAGCAGCGCAGGTGCTCCCTTGGCCGGTGTGCAGAAGCAGCACTGCGAGCCCTGGGCTGCAGCCAGCAAGGGAGACGTGCTTAGCACACCTTCCACACCTGCCAGGTGCATGAGGGAACGAGGCCGAGCCAGCGGTGGCAGCCGCCTGTGACTGCTGGTTCTTGCCTGTGGCTGGACACAGGAACGCATTGAACACGCTGAACATCTTGGTGTAGGCACCTGTTTGTAAAATTTTACCAGGGATGGAGGTTCCRCAGTGTGCCGAGGTTTTTCAGGGGCACAGCTGACTCTGTGTTAAGAAATAATYTCCTATGGCCATGCATGGAAGGTCTTTTGTTTCTTTGTTTTTATGAATTTCAAATTGTGTTGGTTGGGTGAGGTCAGCAGGGCTATTCAGTTCCAACAATTTCGTGATCTTTTTTTGGGTTGCACTGGAAATATTTGGCTTTGCTTGTTGCCAAATAAAGAAAAATCACCAACTCAGAGCATGTGAAGTATATGTATACAGTCGTTCTGGCAACCTATTAATTGCAGATGGTCTGGTTGGTTTGGAACAGAATGCCTAGCATTTGCTGAGGGGACAGATGGCAGACAAGCCATCTAGTTATATCAGTTGTATAGTGAAATTTTGACAAAAGGAGTGTTCAACAGCAGTGCAAAAAATTTCTGAATAAAAGCTTTATGTAAAAATTTCCCTAAACATGGAAAGACACATGTCATTTGGGAATGCGTTATCCAGGTGTGCATCTTTCTCCTGAAGTGTCCTTGTTTGGAATTCTTTAAATATTAATTAAGACTTTTCTTGCCAGTTGGTTGGTTTTAATCTTGTCCAGGCTATCATAGTCCAGCTACCATCTTCGGGTGCAATATTTCTTTGTAAATAATTTACTTGGCCCTTTCTTAAGAGGCTAAAGTTCAACACAACGTTTTAATAACTAAATGATTGGGAAACCAGAACCAAGGGCTGATAAAACTGAGACAAATTTTCATGCAGTTTAAGATGAAAGTCAGTTACCTGTGTTTTGTTGCTTTCCTCAGTGTTTAGGTTTCACTCCTGTTAAACATGAATCCACATGAAGCATTTATTGCCTTCTAGGGCTTGGCACATTGTTTCCTTCTAAAATTTGAAAGCCACTATTGAGAGCTAAATTTTCTTTTTTTCTTCCTATCCTTTCTGCAAAGTCAATCTTCCACACCCTTTCCCCTAATGGTAATTTTTTGAGTCTGTTTTAACATATTGTGGAGGTTATATATGTACCCTGCTCTAATCTGCCCTTGATATGGGACGTGAATTAGAAGCTGGAGGTGAGGAATTGAAATTACCCGTATTAATCAAAGAGGCACAGTAGTAAACAGTGTATAAACACCCTACTTTTTTGGCAAGAGACCTTTGTATGCTTTGGCTTTACTTTTTAAAATAAATTATCTCCCTTTTCCACTCATGTGAAATTACGCTTCAGATGTCTCTTCTATTAGTATTTCTGTGAAGAAACAGGACCATATGTTTGGGTAAGTGCTGTCTTCACCACTCCTCTCCAGAGTCAGGGGGTTATTTTGTTTTGCTTTATTATATTTTTCTTTTTTTGGTCCCAAGTGTGTCAGTAGCATGCTGTGCAAAGAATTTCTGTGAAAGTGGTAGAACACTTTTTTCAAGTAACTTAACAAGTGATAGTCCTGTCAGTTTAACTGGTTGAGAAGTGTCTGTTTGAACCTGTCTTTTGCTAGTTTTAGTTGATGGTTCCMAAACCTTTATCTGGAACAGGCAAATAACCAGTATTGCATCGTCACATTCTCAGTTCCATGTGTGATTTTATGTTCCTCTCTCATGCCTCCCTCACCAATCTTCTGCATACTCTCAAAGTTCATTCTGTTGCTTCTCATATTTTTATTTTGCTCTGTTCCGTTCCAGTCTCTGATTTTTTTGCCATTTCTGAACGTTAAGGTGACTTTTCTTTGTAGCACTTGCTGAAATGTACATGAAGTTGCTGTTTTTCCCATGTGCACTATCGTGCACTTTYCTGTGTGAAGTTCATCAGCTTTTATGAACAGTCACTGCACAAGAAGTCTCTCCTCAGTTCTTTASAACCAGGCTTGATTCTCATACTGCCAAGTGGCTTAATTTTAGCAAATTCCACTTCCTCACTGTTCAGTTGCTGTGACAGATTGGTTTGGATTTATTGAACGGTATGTAGGTCCCAGTAAAGATCCAGGTGGGATCTGTGTGTGTTGACCATTTCTTTTTTTCTTATCAATTTTCTGTGCAGACAAGGACTTCTTTTCACATTACAAAGAGCTTGGCTTCATAAGAGTCTTTGGTGAATAACTGTTAGATGCCTCTCAAGGATGGGAACAAGTGAATATCCCTTGTCCCTGTAAAGGCTGTTGATTACTCTTTCTGAAGAATCAGTAAACACGGGAGCTACTGTCTTTGTTAGTTTGTTCCTTTGGTGCAGGGGAAGTTTTAAGCACAAGGTAACTCCCCAGAAGTTCGCTGGTTTTCACTTTTGAGGAGCTCTATGGATGGCACCTAATCTGAGTGGTTTATTAGTGCATGTGTCTATTAGTTGAATCATCTGATGGTATTTTGATTTGAGACAAATCTGATGTGCTGTCTGTCAGGAGGAATTTTCACACTAGATCTTTACAAGTTCCCTCACAATAGACATGAATGGAAAAGTATACCTTGTTTTCTTCTTTTCAGCCTTTGTTTTTGGGTGCGTCTTGCATGTCTGGATCATCTTTTAACCTTAGTGAGAGTCTTGCAGGCTACTTGCTCTAATTCCCCTGCAAAGGGTTTTATTAGTTTTTAGATTTATGCTGTTTCCAGTTTTTCCAACTTTTTTTAGCTTGTCTTCTTGGACTTTAGTATCTAACCTTCCAGTGTATAAAAATCTTTCTTTTTTTTTATATTAGGATGCTTTAGCTTTTCAAAGGATGCTGTCCTGCTCTTACTAGCCTCCTTATGGCTTTTACTTAAGTAGCTTAGACAGTTTGGATTCTTTCTGGTCTTTCTGAAGAAGTTCTTCATAAATGCTGTGCATATGGTCTGAGCCTCTGGCGTAGTGTCTTTGAATAGTTTCCATGCTGCCTTCAAGGATTTTTGCACTTTTTAAAAGCATCATAATTATATATAATTCGCCTTCCTTTGAAATTAAATACAACCACAGTTGATTTCTTATTTTTTCTTGCTTTCAGAAGAGTGTTGGATCTTGGCACATTATGATTACTGTTCTAGAGCTCTTCAACAGTAATATTTTTGAGCACTGATCAGAACTGCTTCCCAACTTGCACATTCCATTCCCAATACTGTCTCCAACTCTCATATGAATTAGGGAAATTTTTACGTGGGTTTTGAGAAACTTTCTGTGACTTCACCTTGTCATTATGCAAGCCACCCCCCTTCACACCTACAGTTCTGGGCTGTAAAGTTTTTGTGATGAGTTTACATGTTAAATTTGGGGGTGGGCATAAGGCATGACTAGAATTTAGCTTCTGTAGCCCTCAGTACAAATAAACTGTGTCTGAGGGGGCATTTCTTACCTTGATAGTTATCTAAGAAGTTTTAAAGTATGTCTTTTGAAAACAGTAGCACTGTCTAACTTACTTGAGAAACCATGTTCTGGCATTTAGTGTGTCTGCTGACGGTATTTCCATAGTACATAATTTCTAGAGTTATTATCCTTTAAAAGGTTTTTATTTTCTCACTGAAAATGTATTTTKATACCTATTTTGAAGGGGTTTTTTTCCCCTGGTGCATAAAATTGCACCTTCCATGACAGGTTGCCTTGGCCATTCACCAGAACCTTCAGTAGTTGGGTCTTTGGTAGACTCTTGGGTACACATTGGAAAAAACAGCTGAAAGGAATGGACATTGCTTTATACTGAAATCTTTTGTATTTAGGCATATAAAAATGATGACTTTTCAACACCAAATCTGTTGATAATATTTTAATATATAACAAGRAATTGTTAAGAATATAGTGCAATTCCTTTATTGTTTTTTTGAGCTATCTCAGGACTGAGAGTAAAAAAAACCAAATTGTTGCTGTTTATGTTGTCTATGATGTATGCACACTGACTTCATTGAAGAGATTCCATTTTCCTTCCTGCATAGAGCTTCTTTGGAAAACCATGGTTGTGCTTCCTTTTCAGTTTTACCTGGAAAAAGAGTCACAGGCASACTTTGTAGGCAGAGACAGCTCAGAACAGGGAGCCATGGCCTATTTCTGCTGTGCTCTGATCTATCAGAGAAGTGATATTGATTCTCCTGTCAAACCCAGTGTGACAGTGAGGGCATATTTCCTATTTGCCCACGGTGGACTGACAGGCACTGGAGATCTGTCCATGTCCAAACTCCTCTGACACAGTGGTGTCTAAAGAGAGACTGTGGACAGGAGTAACTGTCCATAACTAATTTGTTTCCATTAAAAACTGSAGAATGTAGAGGAAGAAGAACACCAATATACTGTTGAACCCAACCAATACTTATAAAAAAATCCCACCATGGAAATACTGGTAATCCTGCCAGTACCTCGTGGCTGTCAGAGGCCAATGCTTTCTGTGTGCAGTCTCAGTAGATGTGTGTTTGTGAGAATGGGGGAAAGAAAACCTAGGAAAAGCAAAAGGGGAGGAAATAAAAGCACAGCAAGATATTAGCTATTATCCTTTAGAAGTTGTGAGATTTGGCTAAAATCCCACCTAAGTCCTTCAAGTGTCTTTTTTGCCTGTGATTACAATACATGGCTGAGGTTTTCTCTGGTGAATTACTGCTGACTACTTTGGTCCTTCACAGAATTAATCCTTAGATAAAATTAGAAGCTGGCACCATTTTTTCAGCCAATGCTACTAAAAATACATTGTATTGATCCTCTGTCTGTACTTTGGCATGCATGGGAGCAGAAAGGAGTAGGAAGCTATTGAAACTGAAGCATAACAACATATTCCAAAGTTGGACTTCTGTGGCGATCAGCTGTGCTTTTAAGGAGGTCTGGGACCAAAACTCATTAGGAGCTTTCTGTTGCTTGGTGTGTAAGAGCAGCTCCACAGACAGTTTGTCATTCAGAAATGGAAATCCTATGTACATCAGTTATTAGAGAAGTCTGTCAGCTTCTTTCTACCTTTGTGTTTTCTTATTGTTGTGTTAAATTCTGAAAGTTGCAAACAGCTTCAGTGTCCATAGGGATAAAGAGCCAGTTTGCCAGCATTCTCGGCTTCACTCGATTTTGTGATGGAAGGGAGAAGAGAGAAAAAAGTAATTGAATCCTAGTCTTCTGTTGTTTACTTAGCATGCAATTTGTCTAGTACAACCCCGTAGCTCATCTAAAGGCTTGAAAATTGAAACTCCTAGTGAGAAGGATGCCTTTAATGTTATTCCCACAGAAGTCAGTTGCTGCCTTTGAAGGCATGATAGCCATTGTACATGTTAYTTAATTGAAACCTTAGGAAGCAGCATCTGGGACCTGGATCATGACTGGAGGGTTGCTGCAAAAGCAGCTGTTGGCCCTCCCACCACTTGTGCCCAGTGGTGTTTGTTAGTTCCCCTCTGCCAGACTTTGGCAGAMCCCCAGCAATGGGAGCAGAATGATTTCGTTGAGTGCTGTTCTTGAGATCCAGTGCAAAGACCAAACAAAGGGTTTCAACAGGGTTTTGTGTGCCTGACTTACTGGGTTACAAGRTTCATTTGCACAGCTGCAGTACCTGTTCTGTGGGTGCCAGCAAGCAGCTGGCGAGGAAACAAAGGAGGGTATAGAGTAATGGTCTGAACGGGGTCCATTAAYAAACCATTTAATTGTAAGGCAGGACACTTCTGGATCCATCTGTGGTAGTGGAAGATGCTTTTCCCATCTGTTTCTCATTGCTACCCTCTTAACCACATTGGTTTGTTGAAAGAGCACCAGTGCTGGCCTAGTCCTGGGGTTTTCAACAGAATTAGTGAAATTGCACTAGTAGCAACACCTGAAACTTTAGCTGGACTGGTGTTACRGCTTGCATAGATAAGGAAAAACTTGCAAAAACAACTCTGAAAACAGACCACTGAGGCATTTAAGAGTTACCTTTTGGATGAGCTGAATTCAGAACARGGTTAAGATTGGTGCCATGTGCAAGTTTGCACGAGTGGTATTGTACCAACACAACTGTCACCCCTGATGTGTTGCTTTTATTTATAGTACTTTATGGTAATTAAAGCACATTCCTGATTCCAAAGAAAAAGTCAAGTTGTAACTTTAAACAATGTACTTACATTATTTTGTTCCCATATACTTTTGTTTCATGGGAAACAAAATCAGTGAGTACCAACTTATAAGTAATAAGCTAATGGAATTTGGTTTAAGTGTGAGGGTTATTAGTTTTAGATAGTGTTTCTAGCTGGAGTGAACAAATAACAAGACAAAGGTAGAAAATACTTATTCAACTTTACTGTTACTTTTGTAACCATTTGATGAGTTGTTTAATACCACAGAAATAGCTGTTGACCGAATTGTTTGACTAAGACCAGTTASTTAAACTAACATTTTAAGTAAATGTTATTTATATAGCCCTGATTCCTGGATCTCTTCTGATGTCCCTGCTTCACTTTCTTCATTTTATCTTTTTCTCTCCTACGGGAGAATATAGCATATACCTTTGCATCATTTTCAGTTCCTTTCTTTTTTCACCTCCTATCTCCTTCCTTTTCTCCCCACTCTTCACCACCTCCACCCCTGCAGCTTCTGTTTCTCCTTTCTTCTGCCATTTCTTGATTCTGTCTGTGTACTGAACTTCTCTTTTGAAATTCATCTTATCAGTCTCTCTGTCTGTCTCACATGACCATCACTCACCCACTCAAACCAGAGCATCTGTGCACAGTCTTAGAAACATTCAGGTACTTAAAACAGAGAGAGTTACTGTGTTGGCATGAATACAAGTTTGGAAAATAAAACATCCATGAAGCATATATTAGAATTACCTATGGTCTGGCTTTCCCRCGTGTTTTGTATCACATCTGTGTGCTCCCTGACAGTTCATTGTCTCCTTGCCAGACCTGTGAACGTTCAGGTATGAGATCTGAAGCTCCTGTTCTCTGGGACCTGGCCCAGCCCYGCTGCCTGTGCCACCCAACCAGGACTGCTGCAGGTGCTCCAGCTGCCTGTGGTCACCATGCACCATTCCTGGGGCTCTRAAAGGCAAATAATCTGTCCATATTTGAAACACGGTCTTTAAAAACAAAGGCCAGCTCTTTTTTCCAAGTACTTTTTTAAAAATAAATARATGTAACTATATTTAACTTTGGCTACTATGGTCAAAATACTGGCTTCAGATTAAGCAATATAAAACAGGTAAATTTTGCTCAGCACTGATTTATCAGTACAGTCTRTTCAGTTGCTGGAAGAGGGACAGCTGTTAAAAGTCCTGCCATGTTGTTCAAAGATTTGWTTTTTTTTTTCCCTATTTAATGAATAAATTGTACCAYTCCTCCAAACCAACTTCCTGTTTCAGACATTCCCTTTTTTCAGTTTCATTTTGTAGAGGTCATAAAGGGTTTCTGATGCAAGCTTCCTTAACTGTAACTTTCCACTTAYAAAAACTGTAAGTTGATTTCTCTGCACAAGCAGTGCCTTTGCTGCATCATGTAAGATGCATTTATGGCAKTCATATTTTTTCATGCAAGTCATAAAATAAAAACCTAAGTTACTTTGTGTCATTCAACTGATTCCATAAGGCTTCTGCTGCAAACTCATGGATAGATTGATAATTTCATTTCTCTGAACACTTGTGTAACTGGAAGGGTAAATTTTATTTCAGAATTAAAAGCTAATGAGTGGCTAAAAGTTTCTATCTATAAAATACGTGATTATTATTTAGAGTAAGCCAGTGCTGTATATAAATAATTTTGTTTAGAAATGAAATGTTAGTTTAACTAAAGTGCAGGAGCTCTCATTTGGCAAAATGATCTGATGCCATAGCAACAGATGACAATTACAAGCAGCTTCCGGCAGTTGCCTACATTCCTTCTCCCTCACTCCATCCTATCCATATCCATGGTTCAAGGGATGRATTCTGAGCACTGTTTTCTAACCTTTCTTGAAAGGAATGCACTCCCCTTCTTGCARAATGTGAAGCTTGRGTTCTAGAGCTTGTGGATGGAAATCAAAAGTGCATYCATGTGTTGGACATGCTACTTCTGTACTGTTACTGGAAGACCAGTTTTGCCTCAAACTGTCACATCAGACTGACATGATATGAGAGTATATTTATGGATTATATTTTAATTTTAAATAATTTGCTGTATCTTTTCTTTTTAGATTCAACTATAGATGGATGTAGTCAGTGAGTTTTTAACAGTTTAAGTGCTGTTTCAAAAACATCCAAAAGTAGTAAATTTATTAGGCCAAATATGGCTGTTGAAACTGAAATATTTAGGTTGCAGATGAATGCATATAGACAGCTGGAGAAACCACAGTGTACTCATGTCTGTACTTCRATTCCAGCTTGTGACATAAGTCTAGGAAACAGGGTACCCACTTTTGTAGCCAACTTCTGTTTTATTTGCCCAGTGTTGAGATTTATTCTTCTCAATGGGGTTGTAGTCTTTTGTATTGCCCTTTGTTGTGCTTGGTATTACAGTATTGGAGAAAGAAGTATATGAAAAATGGTGGCAGTACAAATTCTGTTGTACCCTCTGCCTACACCAACTTTACCAATACAAATTTCTTAATGAGTTCTCATTTTATTATCATAAGTCTTGGGAGTAATCGTGGCAGCACTAAATTTGACTTTTCATTGTTGCTTCCAATTCTGATGTTGCTGGGTTTTGTGTTCGCTGACCTTGGTCCTGTTGAGTGACTTCAGTTCTGACTCCAGAGAATGTGCTGCATCCAACTTTTCTCTAAAACTATGAGAACAAAAAGCAACTAACTGCTTAATAATTTAAGAAAAGTCTACTGGCACCATAAAATGTGAAACTTGCGTATGTTTTAACTTGTTAATTAAAGAAGCAATAATTGGAGTCTTAAAAGAATCAACTGAAATCTAATGTTACACACTTGTGCTGTGTTGTAGTCTTGTAATTTCCAGYAGTGTTTGCTGAATCCTTTGCATACTTCTCTAATCAGTCTGTAATTATTATGCAGTATAATTAGATTAATATACTTTCATTTATTACAACCACACCTTAGAGGAAAATTTTGTACTTCTGCCTTTATGTTTGTCCTGTATGAATGAGTATGGAGCTCTGTACGTGTGTTGAAGCAGCGTCAGCCTACTGAGGTGAAGAACAATCAATTTAAGAATGTATGGAAGCTTTTTTTCTTTTTTAAATGTCTCTACTGGGTTGTTTTTTKTCCTCTTTTTTCTTCTTAGATGCTGAGTACCAATGGAAGGGGCCCTTCTACTTCATCCAAGGGACAGATCCTCAGTTTGGACTGACGAAAGCTTGGACACACGGAGACACTAATAATGGAGATGATGAGTGGGAAGAAGATATGAAATTAGCAGAGCAAGCAGTGCAGGCCATTAACAAACTAAATCCTAAACCCAAGTTCTTTGTGCTGTGTGGAGACCTTGTCCATGGAATGCCAGGTGAGGCAATTCAAAGTGCAGAATTGAAGTTGCAACTCCATTTTCTTTATATTTCAGATTGACAATAAAGCTAATTTATTTGGCTTGTCTTCAAAATAGTCTTTCATGGGACTTAGTATGTTCCTGTTTTCATGTTTTCCTGGGGGGAAGTGTGATTTGTAGATGATTCTTGAGATATTATTCTGACTTCCTGTAGCATTCATCTGAAGGCTGTACTTTCATGAGTTAATTGCTTTCTTTTCAGTGAAATATTTTCTTTGAAATAAAAGTCTTTCTCCTAAACAAAATTCCTTTGAGATGACAAAAGAGGAGCTCTAGCCATTGGGGAAAAATAATGCCAAGAAAATAGCAAAAAATAGATATGACTTTTTGAATAACTAAAGTGAGTAAAGCTCAGAGAATTCTCTGGCCTTCTAGTTCYTAATAAATTCAAATATTTAATTTTTTAAATGCTAAAGGTCAGTGAGTTCAAACTTTTGCAACTCTGTCYTGTTGCTGTGGGACTGTGAGCTCAGTGTATGTCCTTATAACTGAGAGGAAGAACTGCAAAAGAAAAAAGAACTACCCRTCCAGAAAGGTGGGTTACCAGAAAGAGAACTACTTTTCTTGGGATTGAAGTGAGAAGTGGTGTTAGCTGCTGAGAAGTGGTCTGGAAAGCGGATCTAAGCACCRTATCTCACATCTGTTAGCCCTGCTAAGCAGCAGAGCTGCAGCCAGCCCTGGCTCTGTCCCTGCCAGTGCCACAATCTGCCCAGGGAGCTGCAAACATCCTGAGCCTTGTGCTGCACTCTGCTTCATACTCACCTGCCCCCGAGGAGCTGCTTCCCAGCCCCTGCTCACACAGCAGGGCTTTGAGCACGTTGGAGACCTTTCACTAATTCTTTCAGTGTCCCACAATGTTAATTTTAAAACTTTAGCTGTCAAATTGATTGACATTGGAAATAAGCTTTCTTTTGATCAGAACACAGTTTTACTGAAAGAGTGGGAAAGTGTAAAAACCAACAGATTTAAGCTTGATTGAATCTACTGTGTAACACCTCAGCTTCATCATAAAGTATGTCATGATGCAGTTTTATTGGCTTATGKGCTTCCATTAATTTGGGGATCATCTCTCCTTCCTATAGCAGAGTTAYAATAAATATTTTGACTAGGACTTTTAATTTGTGTTTTCCAAATAGTTTGGTTTCAGTGTCTCCTGTAAGAGGCAGAAAATTCAGGACAAATAATGGGTGTTTACATCCTATTGAAAAGGATTGTTCACTCAAAAAATTCAAATATCCAGGAGGCTAAGTTAGTTTCATTTTACATGGGTATTTCTCAAAGACTCATAAAACAGTACAAAGTTATGAGTACTTCTGTCTCTTCTGACTTGAAACAACATTATTTTAAGGCTTCTCTGTTGGTAGAGTTTAGGAACTAGAGTCTGCAATCTTCTGACTTGCACTGGGCATTGAATGGCTGGATACAAGAAATAAGTCTTGCCTGTGGCACTTTTTTTGTTTGTCTTTTTTTTCCTAGCACTGGTTCTCTATAGTCCTTATTGTCCCTTTTGCCAGTGTGTCTCAGACTCTGGTAATGTTTTAAATGCAAACCTGTCAGGGCTTTGCAAAAYATTAGCATTATTCATTTTGCTAACAGACATGTAAAGGAAACTGAGTGGATTGTACTGGTGAGATCACCTACATCGTGTGATGGATGTGCTGTGCCTTGTATAAATATTTGAAGCTGTCTCGTGCAATTTCCAAGAAATTGCAAGAAAGAGCAGTTCATTACTCAGTAAACTTAAGGGTCTTTTCCAGGCTAAATGATTCAGTGATTCTATGATTACTTCACTTGCGCCACCGTATTTTAACTTCTCTAATAATTTCCTGTTGATTGAAATTATGTTAATAGTTTGCRAGCCTGTGTTATCGTGTAGTTATATAAAGTGGTTAAGGAAATGCACTATTAAAAGGAATTGTAGAATATTAAGCTGGAACAATTACTTACTTCATTATTGCCTTTGTGTTTATACAAATGGCTTGCTCTGCCATGTGTTGATAAACATACAAGTACAGTTTAACCATTAAGTTGTTCATAAAAGGACAGTTTTACAGCCCTTCGTCTTTCTGTCTAAACTGACAACAGAGGTAAGAGTGAATTGCTCTGTGGTGCAGATACCTGTAGAATGGCAGTCTTGGACTAGGCCTTAAAGGACAGGGAGATTATACAGCTTTTTAATCAGTGCCTGTCAGGAAAAAGGGAGTGGGGAACACCGATCTTCCTCTCTTCTCTTAAAATGTTTATCATGGAGTACTAAGGGTAAAGTTTTTGATGACTGTTTTAAAGCAAGCACTGTAGCCATTTAGCTGAACCAGTCTTGAAGCCTTTTGCAGTGGAACTCCCAAGAAATCTCAGAATTCCAGCAGCTAGAAGTGATGAACAGAATCCTGATCAGCTGGGAAGCAATCAGGCACAGCACTTGGAATCCATTACAGATGTCATTAGAGCAACGAAGTAATCATATCTTGGTATTTAGCTGCTGATTAAAAGTAGTTTGTACTCTGAATATTATTTCCAGAAGTTTTTCTTGATTACATAATCAAGAATAGGATATCTATTCTTGGTAACACTAATATTGTGGTACATAATCAAGAWTTTTAAGCAATACCTTGTAGTGCAACTGTGTCACTGAATATAATTTCTGTGAACTTGATGCTTACTCTTGGATACACCATGACAATGAAGGACTTCCTTCTGAAGACATTTGTGTGCATTAAGTATAATATGATTTTGTGTGACAGAAATAGTAATCTGCAAAATATTGCTGATCCAGTAATGTGTGTATTTCACTGCATTTTCCTAAAACTCTGGAATTTTATTTGTAAAMGTGTTATTTTTCTCATATCAAGTTGGAACCTTGGGGGCTGCTGCAGCCAAGGCATTAATACATCCCCAGCACTCCTGTGTGTGTGAGTAGCAGGACCAGGAGAGTGGGCCCTGGTTGTCCTGTCTGTGCCAAGGGATTGGCTGTGCCTCCTGGATTTGAAGTTTCCTGGGTTGCTGTCAGCAGGTGTCAGGGAGATCAGTAACCCATTAAGAGCCGTGATGTTCTGAAGACTTTTTCAAGTTGTTCTTAGGAGACTTATCCATTCTTTTGTCCTTTTTGGGTGGTCTGTAGCAAAATCCCACGATTAGTAGCTGAGCTCTTTCCTGATCCTGGCTAAAATAGTGCCCTCCAAACATGGGGCTGACTCCCCCACCTTCTTTGTTGTCTGTCCCTCCTGCTCCAGTTTAATGTGAACACTGTGCTTCCCTCTCCACCCATACCTTGAGTGTACATTGGTGTCCAGGAAACACCGTCAGCATTTCAACACCTTTTGTTACAGTAGCAGAGAATTCAGCTGTTGGCAGCCAAGGTCACCCTGCTGAAGCCACTGAGAAACTCTGACTGTGAGGCTGAGAATCCAGCAGCTATTTTTAAGTGCACGAATTCCTTCAGAGGAAATTGTTTAACTGCATTTTTTTAAATGATGCCACTGCTGTCAGTAACTTGATAGTTGTAGCCGGTGAAGTTATTTATGTGAGGTGTTTAGCCCAGGTGTTTAATTATTTTTCATTAATTGTTCTGCCTACATGGGTAAAAGAACAGGTAAGACAGCAAGTCTCTTGGAAACTTACTTAGCTCTGACTGTAATAAATTTAACTGTTTAGAGGCTAAATGAAACGAGACTTGTCTAATAATGTGTATAATCACAGAAAACCTGATAGAACTTGATTAAGCTTGATCTGTTAGCAGTCTGATAATGGATCAGTAAGCAAGTAATGTTTATGCTTGCAGTTTTAAATTCATTTGTGTGTATATGTTAATTACAAGAAATCARAATCACTGGAATTGACTATTATGGCACTTGAAATACACTGTGAATACTGATACTAATTCCTTTAGTTAATGCAAAGCTATAATAATCTCTAATATATACATTCCCTACGCAGGTCGTGCAGTACTCTATAATCTCACATCAGCCTTTTCCATCAATTAAGCCCAAGTAGAGACATTTTTCTATTTTTTTTCCTACCTTTATTTTATATTATTAAATTGTTTAATTAAGGGTTTTCAAATCATTATTTATAACACGTTTCACCCTTCATGCTTTTCTAAATGGAACAGGCTAAAACATTTGATTGTTTCAATCAGCTTTTCAGAGCTGCAGTCATATTTAATAATGTTTTCTTACTTCTCCTTGCTTTGCTTGCTGTCTCTGTCTCTCACTCTCTTTATTGAGCCATGCTTGGATTGTGAGATCTTCCACGATTGTTTCTGTTACGTATTTTCATGTTTTTACTGTGCCATCTAATGTGTGTTTCAGACTGTGAGCCCGAGCATGTGTTATTACCGTGAATAGTTTAAACAGGAGGTGACAGAAAAGGCCTTTACAATAGACAAGCTGAAAACAGAGGTGTCCAAACTGTACACAGCTCATTGCTGGTGTGTTCGTGGTCACTGAGGCACTGCAGCCTTGCGAGCTGTCAGTAGATTACATTGTGTGATGGGGGAAAAAAGCAGCCAGGCAGCTGGCCAAGGCCCCATGGCTGCAGCAGCACGTGGTGGTGAAMGGTACAGCCTTACTTTGGTGTCCAGCATTGTGTAAAAAGCACAGTGCTGAATTTGGGAAAGAATTGTCACTGACAGAATCACTGTGAGACTGCTGGAGATGCAGGTGCTCTGCCTGCCCCAGTGTCCCTCTTTCTCTCTCCCTGCCTACAGCTTGGATGTGTGGCTGTCCTGCTGCTGTTTCCAGAGGCCCCTGCTCTTTGGGGACACTGTGCCATGCCAGGCAGCTCCCCCTGCCTGCACGCTGTGCTCTGTGTRTGTCTGTGTGTGTGCATCACTGCTTTGCGTTCTCCCCCACGAGTTCGCACGTTCCCCTAACGCTCTTAACTCCTCCATAAAGCCTCAATAAGGCACATCAGCTCAGTTCAGCTAATTACAATTTTGGGCAGCAGTATGTGCTTTATGT